AAAACAGAAACAAATTAACAAACAAACTTAAAAAAAAAAAAAAAAAAAAAAAAAAAAAAAAAAAGAAAAGAAACAAAAGAAGCGCCAAAGGAGTTTATTCGTAATAAAAGCCATAAATGACTTCGCTTTGTTATGGAAAAACTACATTTCGGAAATATAAATTATCAAAGGAAAAATATAAAAGAAAACAAAGCAAATGGAAGATAAAAGAAGGGAAAAACTTGAAGAAAAAAACAAGAATAATCATTTACTAAAAACTTAACGAAGCCAAGGGAATTTCACAATAATACTTCGTTTCCACCCACGCTTCGTCCTCGTTATTTATTAATAAAATCTCTAAAAATACATCGGTAAATCATTCCTAAAAAAAGTATTTTCTTAAAATTCAAGTTCTTTTCAGGTACAAGTATGAAATGATGACTTGTTTTGAACTACAGTCATATGAACATATTTTTCGAAGGTTTGAAGCAGTGATTTATATATGTTTTGGATTTATCGTTTCCCACGTTTGGATGTCCCTTTTTACGATTTTTGGGATTAAAAAAGCACATTTTTAATACTGTAATCGACTTAAATGCATTAGGAAAATCCCTTTTTCTCTTTAAATTTCGAAAAGAGAGGGAAGGTGGGTTACCTCAATCGGATGACCGAGTTTCCAGAACTTTCCAATCGGAATGACACATTACCATTTGTGTTCCAACTGGAATTTCCAGTTTTTCCGATAACACGGTAAATCCTCCAGAAGCCAGAAAACTACAAACTAATAATATTAATAGAATGTTTCATAGTGAAAGTGTACAAAATCGTGCAGTCAGGTAGTTACTCGTGGTCTGTTGCAGCTGTACAACACGTATACATTGAAATAGGTAAAAAAAATTGACAAAAAGAAGAAAAAATAAACTTGGACAATTTCAGTCAACTTTCGACAAGAATCAAGCCAGGTTTTGTCTTTCCACTCTAGTCGTATTTTATTTTAAGTGCTCAAAATGTTTATTAGAGGGTTTACCTCATGAATAGATTGTTGTTCGTGGTCGTCAGGTTCTTGTTTGTTGACGTTTTCTGTCGATGTGTCGCTCTGATGAATTGAATAGAAAAGAATGTTCTAGAAACGAGAGGGAAGATATTTCCTCTTACGGTTTCCTCAGTAGGACTCAACGTGTCATTTAAGTTAAATTTTTAAAGTAAAGAATTTCCTTCAAAACGTTTTCGTAGATAAAACAAAATTTCTACCCTACAAGTTTGGAAGTATTTGATTTTGAAGTTTGTTTACAAGATGTAATGAATCAGAGGTAGCGTAGACATAATACACTCGCCTCTTTTCTCTGGGTGAGCAAAGCTTGATTTGAGGATTTTTCTCCGGATTCTCCGGTATTCCTCCCTTAACTAAATAGACCTTTTCGGCTTTGGCGAAAAGAGTATCATTTCTTTGTTTAACGGTTGCGCAAGAAAAGACACATTAATATGGATACAACTCAAACAAAGAATATTTTTCTAACTGAAGAAGATGATTACGCCCATGCCGAAAAGGTCTTTTATAAAGTTAGTGTTTTGCTCATTCTTTAGGGAAAAAGTCCCAGAATATTCTAGAAGATCATAAGCAATTCCAATTCAGACAGCATGAGAGATAAAAATAATCAAAATATTTCACAATCAGGGTAATATGTGGATTCAGTAATGCATGAACGAAGGGAATTTTCGATGCCGTAAAAGCAAGAAAATACCTTTCCTTAAAAGCACTAAAAAATATATACGCCAAAAGTGAAATAGGAGTAAATCTTTCCACGAAAGCCTGAGAATAGAACCACCTTGTACAAATAAATAAACAAGCGAAATCATCTTTCTATCTTATACTTTCTTTCATTCTTTCTTTTTTTCCGCGAAAAGTTTTTAAAGAACAGGAAAAAACCACGGGTCAAGTGCAATACGTACAAACATTTTTACCCGATAGATCGCTGCGGGAGTCAAAATGTAAGCAAAGAGTTATTATTTCTTTTTTTAAGCTTATGTCAGAACTTTGATATTTGAAAGTTGATGTCAAAATTGGGATACTAGGTCGCTGGAAGCAGGATATAGAATGGACAACCGTTTTCTCCAAAATTCACCGTTGAAAATGCGAGTCTCCCTCTGAAGGACCACCAGGAACCCTTCCTCTACGATTTCGTTTAGGTTCGCAATATGCATTCAAAGTTAATTTTGAACATGCGTCATTGAGATAAAGGAAGTTCATGATTCTTAAAATATGCTAATTTAGCTTAAATCTTCAGAAATATCGAAAATAATACCTAAAACTTAAACGGCCTAAAGCTAAGATTGCAATTCTCAAGTAAGACCGGGAAGCAAATAACGAAACAATATCAAAACCATTTAAAAGTCAAGGAGTTTGACGCATTTTGTAAATTTTTTTTTCGAATTCCGATAAATTGAAATTTAGCGAAGTACCCCATCTGAGATCACTAAAAACGAGGTAAAAAGCTTACGAAATGAGAAAATTACGAAAACCATATCTGAATTTTCGGAAATAACAAAAGTAGTACATTTTTTGGAGTTGGAAATTTTGAAATAGAACTAATTAGAACTTGGAAAACTATAACTAAAAACTAAAGAAAAAAGACAGAAACGGAAATTGAAATTTCTTTTAAAATATTGTCTGTTTTTTAAATGTTTATGCGGATAATGTGTAGGGGGAAATCAATAAAAAAGTACAGAATTCCTCAAATTTTGACTTGAGCTGACTCATTATTTATAGTTACGGGATCAGTGAATAATTATGAAGCGAATGCCTAGGTGAATCGAAAGTTTTTTGACGGATGTTGCTCACCTCATGTTCGCTCTTTGGAGTATTCCTACAGCTGTCTTGTTTCTCTGCATTCACGTTCGAGTCGATGTCGACCATGTTGATGAACTTAAGAGAGTAAAATGAATCTTTTTTTGAGAAGAATTATCATACGAATATCCTGTAAACATCAACAGTTATGATGGACGGAAGGTGAGATAATCAACTTTCTAGTGTTTTACATCGAGGCACCTGCCCACCGGGATTGACCAATCAGAACGCTCTATCAAGACACAACCTCACCTGCTTATGACGTAGAACCACCGACAGCCAATCACAAACCTGGGGAGCATACAGAAGTGAGTTGTTTAAAATGACTTTGGTTGGCAAGCAAGATAAACAAATTCTGTACTTACCTGACTCCTGTGAAAAGACTCTCAGTCGATTTATCACTGATCTGCTTTCGCAGGTCTCTTGAGAAATGAATACTCTCTTGTGGGAGCTTAATTATCAGCGCCAGTGATACGTTGCTACGATCAAAATCCACTATTTTCCTTAGATACCAAAATATTCATCCTAATCCTTCTCATTTTCCCTAAACCAGGCAAATCTAACATCAATATCGAAATTTCTAGAAAACATTAAAATTTATCCAATCAGTTTCCTCGAGCTGCGAAGAGAAGGATAACGAAATTGAAACCAACGGCAAAGAATCCGAAATATATTATGAGTCTCGATAACTAGCATGTTTAAATTAAGATATTGCATATATACTTCCTATTTCGATAAGTGTTTTGGAGGAATAACAATTAAAGAAGACTATAATTTTCTTAGGTATCTATTTTCCAAAACTCAGGATAAAAACGTTAAGATTTAAAAAGAAAAATTAATAATGAGAAAGATGCATTAAAAAACAAAGTTTTATTATACTTTATCGGTACTAACAGAATTCAAGCGGTAGATAAGTATATATATTATTACCAAAGCTGTTTTCCTAATATTAGAACAGATGATCACTAAGAAAAAGTAATTGCGACTAACCGACAGAGTTAGGCAAAAATATTTTCGCTCATTTTATTGGACATTACTGTAATGATATCAGTTCACATCGAAATACTTTATCGAAACAATATAGAATCAATATCCCAAAGCGATAAAGTCTGCAGATTAACACCTTAGATAAAGCCTTCATTTGAATGTTTCTTTAACTTTGGTATATATTTGTAAATAATTTACAAAGTTTTATGTGTGGTGAGTGAATGTGCATGAGAGAAGGGGAAAAAGAGAGAGTGTGTGTGTGAATACGTGTAAGTGAACACAATGGGCTCGTCAAGGCAAAGGTTGAAGCGAAAAAACTAAATTGGTTGTCGAGTTTATTTTAAAAATTTATGAGTAGGGGAAAGCATTGAATTACTCTTAATATATAGCTGACGCTTAAATTTATTCGACGAAGTTATTAGAAAAAAGTTCCAATTACAGCTAAAAATATATTTACACGAAATTTCAATTCGTAAACGAAAAAATATATATATTACTTCCAATTACATAAATTTGCGGTCCTTGAAGGCTGAAGCGTCCGGCACCGTGTTTCGCAGCACGTCAGCACACGCAACCGACATACCATGGCACGGAAATGGCTTCCGATTGATTGTGGATTCAACCACTCATCCACTCATCCAATGAAAATTAAGCATGAAGGCAGGAATATGGCCACTTAGAACATCTAATTCTTCTCATAATTGATTTTTTTTAAATGTATATTTACCCCACACATGCGCAAAATACTTAGTTACCATGACTACATGTAAACATAAAAATAAAAAATAAAAAGGATTTCGCAGAGTGCTTATTACGGAAGTTGATTTTTTGTGTGATGACAAGTCATCGAGTTGAGTTTTAAACTGAAAGTTCAAACATGAGTAACACTTCACTGAATATGGTAATATCGAGCAGAGAGAGAATTAATGGTGACATAGAAACGGGAAGCCCCGAAAAACGTTAGGTTTTAAAAAGACTTTATTAAACTGTAACTGAGGATTCTGGTCAGACTAACACGAGGGGGTCAAAGTATTTCAAAGTTTATCATAACAGGATGGGCCAGGTTGCGAATCCTATCCAGTGGATAAATTGATTGGATAACAGCATCGAATTATCCATTGGATAAGGATAAATCCGTTGGATAGCGCTATCCACTCTTCGCCCTGGTTATTACTCAAGAACTCTTGGGTACGCCTCTTTCATGTCGTGTTAAATAATATGAGTAATGAATAATGCAGAAATGTTCCAAGCATTAGCATTTATTTCTAATTTATGGGTTGGGGAGGGGGCTATGAGGATTTTACATCTTGAAATTGTATTTTGGGGTGCCTCCCCCACCTCCCCCTAAAAAAAACATGACATATTTTCAGTGACCCCCCAAACAATAGACGTTCAGTTGACGCTAAATATCATACCTATAAAAAATATTTTTGATGGCCACCTAAATTCTAACAGGAGATAATGGTTGACCCCTCTTCTAATCCAGGACCAAATTTACAAATTTACGGTATTTTCTTATAATTTGATGCCGCAAAATGTTTGTGATCCTGAATGTAAGAAGGAAAGAAAGACAGAACAAGTGTATACTTCGCATTGACAACGTATTATTTATTTGCATTTGGCCTTGGATGCCTGGTTTTCATGTAACTCACTCGGCCGTGCGCCATTTTGGATTTAGGTGTATTGGGTAGAAATGAATCAGTTACACTACGACCTATTGTGTGTACGACAGCATAGTTCGAAAAAATTGAAAATTGAAAGAAAAAAAAACAAAACAAAAAAAACAAGAAAGAAAAATATGAACGAAGTTTTTTTGGGTATGAACTAATGTATTGTATTGTATCTTCAAGGAAAAAATAGTAATGATAAAAAAGGTAAATTATACACTGTGAAAATATTACCGACGTTTCGGACCACAGGTAGCCCAAGGTTGGTTTCTGTGGTATCCTGTTATAAGGAAATGTATGGGGATTCATAAAAAATTTCAATAAAATCATTGAAACGTGAAATAAAGCCCCGAAATTTCACCCGATCATTGAGAAATAGCACTTCTTTGGCTCTTCGTGGTTATTTTTTGAATTCAGCCCGTCTTAAGATTTTTTCCCTCACCAGTAAAATTTCGGGGCTTTATTTCACGTTTCAATGATTTTATTGAAATTTTTTATGAATCTCCATACATTTCCTTATAATAGGATACCACAGAAACCAAGCTTGGGCTACCTGTGTTCGGACGCTAGTCCTTCGTCGGAGTAAAAGAGCAAAAATAGTAGGCATGTAAGCCGCAAACACATACTTTATAGATGATTTTTAAAGCTGTTTATTTGTGTTTTGTTTTTATATTCAACAGGACGTTTGCATGATGGCATCATTTGACTCCTACTACCATAATGTTTGGCGAACTTTCTTTCTTATTTAAATTTTTATTACCTAATTTGAATTGAAAGTAGTAAGGCAATTGGCGCGAACTAACTGAATAAAAGAAAGTGTGCAAGGGAGTCTGGTAGTAGAGGTCAATGAAGTCATCATGCAAACGTCCTATTTCATTTAAAATGATTGTTAAATAAGGTTATATAGTGTTGTCGTTTCTGCTACTCCAAGTTACAAATAGTATGATGTAAATTAGTTTTAGACTAACGCTTTTAATTTGTGTCATTATTTATTGTTTTTATTATTTATGATTTATGCTGTTTTAGAGCTATTATCCCGGATCATTCAGGTTCTTAATTCCAATTTTCATTCCCATTCAACTGAAAACCCGGCTCTTTCCCCCCCCCGGCCCTTTTAGTGTTTCTTCCATTCGCCTAATTCATTTTCTCGTTTATTTTTAGATATAGGGCTTTCTTTCCTAATGCACTCATTTGAAATTCACAAAGTAGCAATTACAATAACGATTAACACAAAATATACACAGTGTTACGTAGGCCTCATGGGTGTGTTTTACCTAGCTTACTATCATTATCAGTATTAACACTGTTACCTCTGAATCAAGAGAATTTAAACTTTGCCGATAAATTTCCAAAAATGTTATTTTAGCACTAAGATATACAAGTGAATTGACCAAAAATGTTTACACTTAAAAAATAAAATGAGATTTACATAATTATATCGTGAGTGGTGCTGGCGTACGAGAGGTTCATCATCTATTATATATGATATCGACTGCTAAAAGAGGAGTATATCGAACAAATCCACTTCGTAGATGGCCTAGCATAAGAGAGGTTGCCTTTCTTGCAACCACACCCATCTTTAGTTAGCCTAGCCAGACTGAACAATATTTCTTTTCATATCTGTTATATCTGTGTAGATTAGTAGAGATCTAGCGGACAAATCCGCTTAGTAGAGGCATCATAGCCAAAGAGAGGTTGCTTTTATTGCAACCACATCCAAGAAGAAAAAGTTGATTTCTATTGAAGCCATACCTGAAGTAGCACAATACAAGGTTATATGGTAGCTTCTATGGTAGATGTAGAATATCAGCGTCCATCACAGTTTGCTCATTGATTTTTGAACAGGAATTTTTCTGCATTCTTTCCACCATGATATACGTTTAGTGCTGTCGGGGTCTGACATGATTGCCTCATACAGGTTCTTGTGTGCCTGTGTGAACAAAGCGAACATTTAAAAATACTGATGATGATGATAAACTTGATGATTATGATGCTGATGATGGTGGCGGTGCTGATGATGCTGATGATGATGATAATGCTGTTGATGATGGTGATGATAATGATGCTGATGCTGATGATGATGGTGGTAATGATGATAATGGTGATGATAATGAACATGATACTGATGATGCTGCGACTGCTGTTGATGATGCTGATGTGATGTAGATGACGATGATAGTGATATGATGATGATGAATGATGGTGATGATGATGATGATGCTGATGATGATGATAGTGATGATGAACATGATGGTGATGATGATGATGGAGGAGGTCCACCCCCTCTGTGCTCCAGCTTGAGCATCGATATACAAATTGATCATATTGCACACATAAGATGCATCACATACACATATTATGACAGCTTACCTGACCGTTACTCAGGCCTATGGGAGAGTTGAGAACAAAATCCGGTGGAGCTAAAGCATCAGCAAGCAAAACAGCTTCGCTCTTCAACTAAAACCATCAAAATTAAAAAATCAGAGAAGAAGAACAAACAAATACAAAGTCTTTAGCAAGCGAGAACTTAATTAATTGAGAACTATTCTGAAGATGAGGGACACGGAGAATATATCCCGAACAACATGGACACCATTTTAGAATCTTCAAGACACCACTTAATGAATTGTTTTTGCAAAATATCGGAATTGTCATCAAATTTGAATTTTCACCTTTTGAAAGGCCATGGATTGTCTTCATGTATAGCAAAAACATGCCCAACTTCTAAAACTTGTTTTCCTCTTGTAAATGCCAGAATTTTGAGTGTTTTTTAATTTGGGAAAATCGGGAACCGTACATAGCTGGAATGGACTGGACTTCGGTTGGCTGGATTTTTTTTACGCCGAATTTGCAGCTTTTATTCTATGATTTTTATTTTATTATAAATATCTAGTGATTCTATTTCGAAATTGTGCAACAAAAAAATAAAAATAAAAATAGAAAAATAGGCAAAGGCAAAATCCATTTCGGTTGCAACCAATTCAATCCAGTCACATCCAAATAACATCCAATTTAAAATAAAAAACACTCAAAATTCGTGCATTTAGAAGAGAAAAACAAATTTTAGAAGTTGAGCATGTTTTTGCATTACATTAAGATTAACCATGACCTTTCAAAAGGTAAAAATTCGAAACGTTCTACTGGGTTGACTGTGGTAATAGAGCTGGTAACTTTGGCCGTAAGTACTTTTCGCTAAGTTTTGAATCCTTTTACTAACCGAGTTTCAATCCACTTCACTGGTTTGGGTATTTTAAAAAATTGCATTTGAAGAATATATTCAATAATGGAGAGATCGAGAACTTCAGAACAGTTAGCGAAAAACAAATGACCATTCATACACATTTCTAAACGAATTTAGAGTTCCTGAAATAAATATATTTATGTCTTCAGACGCGACGAGTCTTAGTCAGGTCAAAGTCAGGTCAAGATTCTTGTGTATTTCAAGATGGAGAGTATGATTAAAACTTAGTGACGTCAGTAACTCAACGTTGTTTTCTCTGTCTACAAAACCGCATCAGTAGTATTCGGAAGTTCTAAAAAATATACACCTAAAATGTCTCAAAGTACCCCCTCCTTCATAGCGGTACATAACAACGATTAGGTGTTAAATAAGCTCCAGCATACCAGCACATTGGGCAACCCAGTGCTAGCTTCAAGAGCGTTTTGTTTTACTCTAAGCAAGCATATAATTAGAATATCTATTATTAGTTGGACATCTTGATGGTAGCCCGAGTAAACGAACTAAAGTGCGTCTAGTTTAAAGTTAAATACATACATACATACATACATAC